TTGGATTTTTGTGGAGAACCCTTAATGCAAGTCATATTCCTTTTGAAATGGGGACATACAGTCCTCAAGAATATCTTTATAAGAAACTTTTTTTTTATTTTTTAAAAGGCGATATTTGCCTCAACGACGTGTCAGTGCTGAAATAACGATCTCCTCCGAGTGTTTTTCTCTGAGTTAATTTAAAGTTTCTGATTGTTTTGTTATGCGCTGTTGAAGCTGTATTTAAATGTCAGCTGTGTGCGTTGTGTGGGCTGCGACTGTATGTGTGTTTGTGTGAAGCTGTAATGGTGGGAGTTTCTCAAGTTTTGAAGTTACTTTTTCATGTTGTCTTGTGAGAGGTATCATTAAAATGCAGATAAAGTATTGTGGTGAATTGTCAGAATGATCCTGTGTGATTACATCTCCTTTGTGGCCTTTCTTATTCTCAACATGGCCACATTTTCCTCCCACACACACAACAGGAGGAGGCGAAGAACGTTCCTATGAGCTGCCAAAGACTATCCTGCTTTCTGTAGTTTTACTTTAGATTCATGGCCAATTTTACTGAATGAGATATACATGTAGTTATCTTTAGATCTGAGTTCCTTTTATGCGCTCACAGGTTTTTGAGTTCCCGACTTGAGTGTTGGTCCTTGAGTTTTATTCACCTCCTTTATGTCCTTCTCCACAGTCATTTCTTTACTTCAGAGTTGAGGAACAACAATGTATATTTTCAGCAAGGCTCGAAAGAAAATTACATATTTGCATTTACTTAAAGGGGCCCTAATATGCTCTTCTCGTGGTTCATATCAGTATGTAGTGTCTCTACATGTCTCCATGCTTTAATGTTCAAAAAGCTCTTTATTTTTCTCATACTGCCTGTGATGCAGCACCTCTTTTCACCCTCTGTCTGAAACCAGAGCCCAGTCTGCTCTGATTGGTTAGCTGGCCGGCTCTGTTGTGATTGGTCAACCACTTAGAGATGTCCCATCAAACGATTTTTTAAATAAAGTAAGTAAGGGTTCATCTAGTTCGTCACACAGTTCTTTGAGAATCCTGGGATAGATGCCATCCGGTCCTGATGCTTTTGAGGCATCTAAGTTCGATTTTTATGGATGTCCTTTGATGTGAAGTCCAATTTAGTGTTGGAGCGCTAGCCAATAGAAGTGTTACATAGTGATGTCACAGGGGGGAGTGTGTGGGAGAGAAACTCCCTCTGGAGGAGACTTTGGGATTTGAGCCTTTGCAAACCATTCACATGCACACAAACCTTTCGATCACTACAGAAGAGGGAAAACCCCAAAAAGCACAAAAGTGCCTCCTTTAAAGATTTTTAAGAGAGTTGTCTTTTTGGTTGAGCCGTCATTTGTGATATTTGGTCCCATGTTTCTACGTGTATTTTTTTTTAATGATGAGCTTTGAGTATGAGGCTTTTTATTATTTAAGCCTCTAACGTTTGAAGGCACTTCAAAGAAAACATGTTTTGGGTTTGGGGTGAAACAATAGCCCAGTGCATTCTGGGTAAATGTGTTAATTTCTCTGCAGTGATTGCCTGATTAGAGTCAGGGGTTAGATGTGTCAAAATGCTGTATAATAGGGAACGTAATAACACTTTTATTAAAGTGGTTTATTATGTCACTTTAATAAAGTAAAGGACTCGCAAGACTCAGATTAAAATATAACTGTCAAAACTGAAGGTACAAACTGTCCTTTTCTATTATAGGCCATTCTTTAAATACACACACCTGGGGTGTGAAGGTGGTGTAATGAAATATGCTAATGAGTTGCATTATGGGTAATCTGGATCCAGTGTTTTTTAGTCTTTACCTATACTAGAGGTCATCGTAACCTCTGCTGATGATTTGATTTGGACCAAGTGCATTAATAAATTGTGTGTGTGTGTGTGTGTATAAAAGCGTCTAACAAGTGAAAATGTGTGTGTGTGTGTAAGGTAATTAGGTTGGATTCTTGGATGGAAGAAAGTGTCGCTCAGTGTTTTCCCTTCTGAACCCAATCAGACAGATTTACCCACACACTCCGCCTCGTGTCGGCCCGCTGACAATAAAACATCCAGCGTGGAACGTCTCACCGCGGCAAGAGAGAGGCAACAACAGGCTGTCATCTGCAAAGACACACAGACACAAAGAGACACACAGAGACACAACAACCAGAGAGACAAAGAGACACACAGAGACACAAAGAGACACACAGCGAGCAGACAGGCCCTCTGTGTTGGGATTTGTGTTTATAGTAATATATTTATTAAAAGTCCACATTTAGATTTATTATTTTGTAAACTGCCATCAGTGCAACATGTTTTTCATTCATCTTTACTTAGACCCTCTAAAGCAGGGGTGTCAAACTCAAGGCCCGGGGGCCAAATCCAGCCCCGACTTCATTTTATTTGGCCCGCAAGAGCTTGCAAAAAATACGATACGTTTATTATACGGTTTCATGCCATTTTACAGAAGCACGATGTCCATAAACTACATGTCCCACAATGCATCTAATTTTGTGACATGCGCACTGAAGAGACTTGCAATTATTTGAAATGATGTCCCCGACTTCTGCTCTCAGACGTAGTTAATTATGAAGTTATTACCCTATCCGATAATAATCCAATGCAGAGGCAATAATGTAATATAAAACATTATTTTATATATATATCCATCCATCCATCTTCTCCCGCTTATCCGTGGTCGGGTCTCGGGGTTAGCAGTTCCAGCAGAGAGCCCTAAACTTTCTTTTCCCTGGCCACATCAACCAGCTCTGACTGGGGGATCCCAAGGCGCTCCCAGGCCAGCGAAGAGATATAATCCCTCCACCTGGTCCTAGGTCTACCCCTTGGTCTCTTCCCAGCTGGACGTGTCTGGAACACCTGGACTCCATTGTTCACTTCCGTAACATAATGACATCACATGTTACACCCCAGCTTCTATTGGCAAGCACTCCAACACATTGTACGTGATAGAGTAAGGGGCGGGACATCTCTAAGCGATTGACCAATCAGAGCAGACTGGGCTCTGGTTTCAGACAGAGGGTGAAAAGAGGATAAACGATAACAATAAAGACCATGTAACCTGAAAATGAGCATAATAGGGCCCCTTTAAAGGCTATGTACTTTAGATAGCACTATGGGAAGCACCTGTGGAGAAGCAGTCTAAGATTAATCCACAGAAAGATTTAAAACCTGTCTGTGTTTCCATGGCTCTCTATAGTACGGATGACTCATTATACCTTTGTACTGTTTCCAGAGGAGTCTTGATGTCAGTGAGAGATCACTCCGTCCGTATTGATCCCTGAATGAATTGTTTTGTGCTGTGACTCATTCACAGACCTTTTATCATAGATGAAGTAGATATGAAGCTCTGTTTGTTCTGGAGTCTAGACTTTTACTCTTTTAATGTTGCAAAAAGAAGCTTGACTGAAAAAGTGTATTACACAAACAAACAAAATACCTACTTACGGCTGCTTTCTTTTGAATTGTCAAGCCTACATAGTCTTCAGTTGGTTCAAAAACACAATACTTAAGTCATTATGCACTACAAAGTTTGAGAATTGTTCGCCCATCAATGACAACAAGAATAAATACGATCTGGATTGTTGGATTCATAATAAAGCATTACATCTCAAAATGTACCAGCTCCTAATATTGTTTTACCAGCCAATTGGAAATGGAGCAAAGCATCAATATTCTATGTCAAATTATTATATTTGCGGGGATTTACGAGGCGGAGCTTGACGGCAAACTCAAACTATGTGCTGCTGTTAATAAACTTTTCAAACGTGAGTTGTCTGAGTGAAATCTATTAAAGAAAGAGACCTTGAAATAGTAGCTGCTGCCTTTCTAAAGGGCTGTTCAGAGGGGCATTTAAGGTTATTCCTGCTAATGTATTGAACTAAATAAGTCACCGTCTTGTTTTTAGTTAGAGCACAGACTCTTAACAACCCTTCCTCTTAATCTTCATATTTTCAGTTTCTTTCCCTTCCAGGCATAAAAGGCTTATTCATCTCTGTTCCAAAACACATCATTCAGAGTACATCCATTACAAATATTTAAAAACACAAATCCTCTGAATAATTCCCCAAACTTAGTGACTGTATTATCTAGTATGCATTGGGATTAAGGATGGGTTATGATTGATCTCCTTGAAGTGCACAGTTACATAACACAGTCTGCTGCTTCTACACTTTTTACGTTTCTGCTGTGAGTGTGTTTTGTAGGTCTATTCATCAGCTTCTTGTTGTGAAACGGTCATGTAAGGTAATAAGTCTGCGCTAACCTGAGGGAAGAAGGGAAAATAGATCTTGAACACACAGAGATTTTATTCAGCTACAAAGGTGTGTGTGTGTGTGTGTCTTCAGCAGCAACAGTGTCAGATGAGGACTGTCTGGTTTCAACACACACACACACACACACACACACACACACACACACACACACACACACACACACACACACACACACACACACACACACTCTCCCAGGATTTGTCCTTGGCCTCAAGGACCTCCAGAAACATTCTCTATCCAGATTGTTCCTCGTCGCACTTCAGAAAACCTCATCCACCCTCACCTCCTTTTTCCTTTATTCTCAGTTACTTCACCTGATTATGATAATAACATGTCGCACCACAAGACTTGACCCATCTTAGTGTTTGTACCAGTGCCCAGCGATTGTATACAGCACCCGGGGAGCAGAGTGGGAGTGCAGTGCCTTGCTCAGTGGCACGTCAAATATTTTTGAATAATAATATAATTGAACCGGCGATCTAACAGTTCCCAGGCCAAGTTGCTCTCACGCTTATTCTTGCTCTCTTAACAAAACGCTGTCAAATTAAGCCAAACATAGGCAAAATATATTCACACGTCCTACAGGTAGCGATTTTAGCCTTAGCTGCCACCTGCCCTTCAAGATAAATTGTGAGACACAATACAGTTGAGTATAAACTCCTCAAATCGCCAAGCTATATTGGATTTATATTGGTGTATTGACCCATGTTGTTTGTGTTTGTTTTCAGGCCGCAGGGAGCTTCCTTATTGTCCAAACCGGCTGTTGAGCTGCTGTCCAGCACCTCCGTCAGCGAGGCGTCCACCGCCATCACTTCCTCCACCGTGGACACCACCTCCAAGGTCAGTCTGTGTGATCTGTTACGCTGTGGTTGTATCTTAATTGAGTCCTTGTCCGTGTTCAGGATGTTTGACACTGTTTGGAAAAGGTGCATCTAAACCGAGAGGCTCATGTCTGTACGTGGTTCAATAAAGAATGAAGGCATTTTCAAATGTACTGTAAAATCAGTGCATAATATAAACTGTCATTTTTCTGCCAAATCAATTTGTAATTTAGTTAAAATTTGATTGACTACAAGTGTAAAGCAGTGTTGCTCCCTAGTTTCCCTTTCATATTTGCGGTTTTATTCCGTCCAGTCCAATTGAAGATCAAATGAATGAAATAAAATCTACGGTCTTCATTTATTATAAAATGTCTCCTGCAGCTGCGCCTTTCAATCATTGCCACCTGACCACAGCTTCACCCAGCCCTGAGAATATTAAAATCAGTCGTCAAAGGACACATAAACATTCCTCTTTTTCTTTAAAGGTATTTTTTTCTTGCCTGCTTTTTATAAAGAAAAACACCTGTTGCCTTCGATAAAGACATTAACAGTTTCTATAAGAACAAATACACAGTTCAAACGTGACACACAGTCTAGAGCATTGATTCTCAAACTTTTTTCAATCATGTACCCCCCTTTTTGCGCTGACCCCCTGATCAGCGCAAAAACAATTTGTTTTGAAATATGTGTAACTCTGTTAATATAAAACCCAGACTGCTCAAACCTTTTTTTCCATTAACATAAAATAAATCTCACGTACCCCCTGCAGTACTCCAACATACCCCTAGGGGTCCGCGTACCCCCATTTGAGAACCACTGGTCTAGACGCTTGCACGCACTAGACTAATGTTTTGATCGTTGACTCAAGGCTAATGTAAGAAGCCAACATGATAAACACAACATCCTTTCTCATGATCCAGAGGACAGTCTGACTCCTGACAGTCTCTCCGTCCTGAAGCTGACGGGTGCACTTTGGCCAGTGGGTTTCTTAAACTGAAGCATCGGCCTTTAGTCTAGGTTAACCAAAATAAGCTTAAATGATTATGTCCAACTATCTTCTCCTACTGCCGCACGTTATATGCCACGTTTAGATGAGATCTACAGCAAATGAATGTTGGTTTTCTTTGTGGCCTGTTACTGACCTTGTTAGCGGCAGCTTTCAGCCGACTCATGCCAGCTGTGGATGGTGAATGGTTGTGATGAATGAGGGTGAAGGGGTCTTCTGTAGTTTACCAAAATCCATAAAGATTGTGCAGGTATGAAAGCAGGTGGCTTAATTGGAGAGAGAGGTTGAGGTGGAAGGTTGGAGCTCGATTAAAGAAGCGTTCAGGGACGAGCAGGTAGATATGATGTAATTAAATAGCCTCTGTTAGGGTCATTTTCAGGTTCATATCAGTATGTAGTGTCTCTACTGGGACATGTCTCCATACTTTAATGTTCAATAAGCTCATGCTTTTCTCAGCACCTCTTTTCACCTTCTGTCTGAAACCAGAGCCCAGTCTGTTGTGATTGGTCAACCACTTATGGCGCGTTTCCACTGCAGCGGGTAGCTCGCTTTAAGCGTGCCGAGCCGTGCGGGGCCCGTTTTTGGTTGCGTTTCCACTTGGCCTAGTTTTGGCCCGGGGCTACTTTTTCACCTTTTTTCTGGCCCGACTAAATCGTGGTTCTAGGGCCAGGAACAATCAGGCTGAGTCGGGCTGAGTATGCTAAACTAGAGAGAGAATCGCTGGCAAGGGGGCTACAACTACAACAAGATGAACATATTTGACCGTGATTTAATTGTAATACACGTTTCAAAATGATGCCGAAGTAACAACATACTGATACCGGTTAGTAAAAACCATGAATTAATGCTTTGACAAGTCTGCAGACAGATGGCAGGCGAAAAACCCTTTTAAAATGCGTGTTTTCTAAATGTAGCTTGGCTAAGCTAACGTTATATATGCTCCGACCGTCCACTCACAACAACGGCCTACAGACATAAATAAACCAGCAACTGTATTCTCCATGACACAGGCAGTCTGTGGTTTGTACTTGTTTAACTTTTGTCTAGTTTCTGAACAGATATGAAGAGCTGTGAGCTCTGAGTGCTAAGAGCTAACGGCTGTGTTGTTTTTCTGTGGCTCTCATTGAAGATGACGTCACGGCTCCGCCTACACTGCGTTACTATAGTAACTGCCCCAGTTCCTAAACTGTAATGGAAGCGCAGCATTAAAGTGAGCCGGGCCTAATAAGGCCTAACCAAACCGAGCGAGGCCGAGCGAGGCCTGCAGTGGAAACGCGCCATTAGAGATGTCCCGCCCCTTAGCCTATCACGTACAATGTGTTGGAGTGCTAGCCAATAGAAGTGCGGGTGTTACATAGTGATGTCAGAAGGGCAGTTGTACCATAAAGACGCTGCATTTTTAAACACTAACACATTTTATTATTGTATATACTTTTACACTCCAGCTCATTTAGTATTCCTTTCGTGAAATATTTGCAACATGCGTCTAATTACAAACGATATCTGGCACATGCACTTCTACCGTGCACATATAATAAGCCTTACATGTTCAGCCATCTTTAGCCATGGTGCGGCCTTATGGATCGCAATGTCTGTCTGATTGTTATTCTCAGTCGGTCAACCTAAGTCTGGACTAAAATATCTATCTAGTATTTAATGGATTCTATGATATTTGATAAGGGCTTTTCAAATGTCATATTCTAAGCCCAGGGCTATCCTTAGCCTGGAGCTAAGTGCTGTGTGAAGCCTAAGACAGACATTAGGTTTCCCCTCTGGATCCTCATGACTTTAGTGGTCCTCTTCCTGTAGCGCCACTATCAGGTTCACATTTTTGGCTTTTTTGGAACATATCACAAAGCTATAAGTTGGCTTGCCATGAAATTAATGAATTGATTTGTTGATGAATTTCTCTGTCATGAATCATAATGACTTCGCTGATCTATTGTCCCTTTAAGATATATCGTCATATCTTCAAAATATCTCTGTCTGTTCATCTAATACTTTGATTAATGACCAAATACCTGCAAAATACTCAGCTGTACTTAGTGTTTAGTGCAGGTAAGCAACTATAAGATTGCAGAACAAGATAAACATGTCTGATAAACATCAACATGGTAGTATTGCCATTGTAGTCATGGCTGCAGACTCTTGTTGTATACTATATTTTTGATAAATAAATGTAGCTTGACGTGTCAGTTTCACAGTTCATTAGGAAAAAGAGAACATCCTTTATCTCTGTTCCTCTCTTGTGTTATTTCTCTGGCCTTGTACTGTTTCTCTATTGATCTTCGGACCACATTTACATTGCCGCTCTTCATGCTGAATACTGGAGTGGTGTTCATGTCAGATTTACTTTATTTCACATGTTCTTCTAAGATTAACACCACACACATACCAATACCAACTGATTGCTTTGTCACAAGATGTGTGAAGACTAACAGAAAAAATCAGACTTTTGTGTCTGCTTGTCCTTCAAGCTGTCATTGGCTCAGGCAATTTGTTGTTGTCTCCAAAATTATGGAAGCGATTTTGAATAAGCCATGCTGAAGAATACCAAGTGAAGCTTCCACATGCACCTCTCATGGATGTTGGGATGTGGTTTTCTGTCTAGTTTGTTCCTCTTTCTTAGATCTCTCTTTCTCCCTGTCACTTTTCTTTGCTTCAGTCTATATCTAACAGCTCCCTTTCACTCGCTCACATGCACATACTCGGCTCCACAGTGGCATGAAATCTCATCCCGCCCATCAACAGGTGCTGCCGGGCTGAGATTGAACATGTGTCATCGGGTGCGGCACGGAGATGACAGGGCATCTATCACGGCATCTCGTCGCCATTTCCACGCCATGTATTTTCCCTGGCCTTCACCCCCCCCCCCCCCCCCCCCAGGTGCTCTGGCTCATCGCCCTTGACATCCAACAGCAGTGCAGAAGTCTTATTCTGACAAGAAAAATACTTGACAAAAGGATCTGCTCTCAGAGGAAAGATCAATCATTTTTCCGTCCCCCTTAAAAGAAACAAATCCACAGTTTGAATAAGTCGCATACTTTTCCGCCTCTGACAAAACATCAGAGGCAGCGCAGAGACAGATATCATCCCGTTTCTCCCCCGAGTTATGGGTCACAACTCTCCTTTGAGCACTTGTGTTGCATATTTAGTGATGCTGTGTTCATGATGTGTGCACAACTTCTTTGGGATTTATAAAAGTCATTTAGGAGAACCTCTTGGTGCAGTTATGAATTCAAATCAAATCAGGTTTTATTTATATAGCACATTTTAAAACGATTTTTGGTCGAGCCAAAGTGCTGTACATGCAAATAATAAATAACATATTACTACAATCGCAAAACAGAAGACAATACATTACAACAGCAAGAAGCTATATGTGGCTCGTTAGTTCCCTGCTTTAGTTTTTTTTAAGTAGCTCTCTCCTCTAGTTAACATAAAGGGCCATGAAAACCAGGACATACCATGAAATAATATGTTAAAGGGGACCTATCATGCAAAATGCACTTTTGTACGTCTTTTATACATGAATGTGTCCCCGGTGCGTCAGGGAACTCACCAAGTGTCAGAAAATAAAACCCTTTCTCTTTTCCCCCGTACCCAAATCTCTAAAAACGGTGGTACAACTGCATCATTTTAAAACTCGGCTGGGTGACATGCTGTTTGATACTCATGGTACCTGTCACTGTAAATAGAGTTTGTAAACTGTACCCTGTACATTATGTTGTATGTCATCCTTATTGTTGTTCTGTTGTTTTTATGTTACATGTGTAACTAATGTCCTGCAGGTCACCCTTGAAAAAGAGATCTTTTGATCTCAAGGGGCTTTCACCTGGTTAAATAAAGGCTACAAACAAACAAACAAACAACGGAGCTGATCCCGATTTGCTGCCGATATGACGTCAAATCGGCAGCGGACCCACAGCAAGTTGCTATCAGAAACAATGCCTGACGTGTTTTGGACGTAATCTCGTCTTTGTTTACATTAGCAAGCCTCGCTAACACTCAGAGCTAACCTGTACTGTGTTTAAAAAGCAGGAAATAAAAAAAGGAACTCACCTTGTGATAAACCCACAAGAGAAAAAGCATTTGAGCTCCATACTGCTTCATCCTTGATGTGGTTTAAACAGGATGGCGTTTTATCACAGCAGAATTTAACTTTATCTCCGGTAGAATTCTGATCAGGCATTAGCTCCGCCTCCTCTTCTTTTCTTTTTTTCAAGCTAAGGACCCAAAATCCGCGTTTTTCTAACAGGGCTGCAAAAGAGGGCTTTGAGCAGTATGAGGCATGGCTACAACGGGTGATCTGTTTGGTATTTTAAGCAAAAAACTTCACAGACATGTTTTGTATAGTTATGGCCCTACACTATATGTTTCAAATATAGCATGATAGGTCCACTTTAAGTAAGACAGTGTTAGGCTAAATTATTGGTTTGTCACTTAATAGTGATTCGAGTTATTATATAAATTAAATAACTAATTAAAGAAACATGACGAGGAACTCCTTTCATTATTGAATAAAACCTTTATTACTAGGGAATTTTATTTTGCACAACACAATATGTAAAAACAATTCACAACCATAGATTACAGAACATAATATCGCCTAAAAACATGAACATCTAAAGACATCATTTGTAAGCATGGTTTGGGAAATTAAGGTGGGCTTTCTCCCTCCTAGAAATGTCATTCAGTTCGACAAAAAGGCCTTATTTGAAGCCATTTACTTCTTCTGGGTTTGGTTTGGTGAGCACACAAGCTTTAGTTGCACGCAGTTAAACACGGTGACAAGTGGAAAGCCGGTGCAGAACAGCAGGAGACTTCTTGTTTGGAGCAGCTCACATTTTAAAATCCATTGCTTGAGGGATATTACTCTGTGTTCCTGACCCCAACCTTTAAATACGTTGCGTTAGCCTCATCAGCGGCTCGGCTCGAGGGCTGGAAATGTCAGGAAACTGGTCGTTCCCCCACTTTGGACCAGACTGAAAGTTTTCAACGGCTATTGGGTAATTTGGCATTAAGATAAATGTATTTTTCATTTAGCCTCCGATCAGTTCACTGACTATATCCAGTGTATTCTCTATACAAATATTTCAGTTGTACTTTATCTTCTAAATGTACCAGTTCTGCAAATCATTTAATTAGCAGTAATCAGATCGATTTGGACAGATTTGGGATGAGGTGTCCAGTGTAAATACATTAACTTGATTTTTTAAGTGAGAGGAAGTCCCGTCTTTAATTACCTCAGCCTCGTAGGTAATTGTTGTCTGGCTGGGGATTTGAACCGGCAGCCTGGAGGTCTCAGACTGGTCTCTGCAGGCTTTTAGGTTGTCAAATCTTGTTTCATTAATGTAACAAATAGCTGCTCTGCACCCCGAGTCTCTCACTTACAAGACAGAGTGCTACAGCAGGGACCACAGCCTTTTCCACAAAATTACCTTCAGCCTAAAAATAGACCACCGCATCGCACACACACATATTCGCAGACACACACACACACCCACACACACCCACACACAGAGGCTGAGACAAACACAGTAAACATGCATTGAAATAGTGTATATGTACACATAAGGGACTACAATGTGACAGTATGGGAGCCTCTGCGTCTTTTCATCATGCTTGGCCAACCCTCTAATTAGTGAGTGGGTTTTCTGTCTCCCAGCTGTGCATGACTCCCAGTGCTGCTGCCAGTCCATACACACACTCAAATTATTGTGTGTGTGTGTGTGTGTGTGTGTGTGTGTGTGTGTGTGTGTGTGTGTGTGTGTGTGTGTGTGTGTGTGTGTGTGTGTGTGTGTGTGTGTGTGTGTGTGTGTGTGTGTGTGTGTGTGTGTGTGTGTGTGTGTGTGTGTGTGTGTGTGTGTGTGTGTGTGTGTGTGTGTGTGTGTGTGTGTGTGTGTGGTGTGTGTGTGTGTGTGTGTGTGTGTGTGTGTGTGTGTGTGTGTGTGTGTGTGTGTGTGTGTGTGTGTGTGTGTGTGTGTGTGGTCTTTCTTCCGAGGTTTCAGGATAGAGGATGGTGTAATGAGTTTTCATGAATATGTGCACGGTTTTCTAAGTGTGTTTCCTGACTGTACACACAAACACAATAATAATGCACAGGAATGTCATTTCTTTAATGTGCGTACAGAAAGATGATTTGATGTCGGTGCCTCACATGTTGTACATTTATTTAAATGGCAGAATTATAGCTCAATGTGCTGGAACAGTAAACGCTTCACACTGTTTAAACCCCTCAGTTGGGCAGGTTATCTAACATATTTATCTCTCACTATTATTCATGCGGATTGGGAAGAACATTTTTTTTCTGCTGAGCCTTCTGTTATTGCTGTGTGTTTCCAAGTCCATAAGCATGAGTCAAATCCTTATTTTTCTTTTATATGGCATCATTATTTCAGTTTATATTTCGCTAATGTGGTGAATTCATTAAATCGAAATGTGCTTTACACATCCACAAGTTTTACACAATTCACAGACTTGGAAAACTGGGGCCTGATTTGCATTTTTGCTCGGAGCCAACCAAGTACTCTAATCCAGCCCGGCTCTCACTCAATGTTTGCTCGGCACAAGATAGGTGTTTTTAAAAAAAAACGGTATATACCAAATATGCAAAACCCCTTAAAAGTAATTGTAACAATTAGGGATGTAACGATATATCGAATATCGCGGTAAATAAATACCGTTGTGAGACTGACAAAATCTACCGCGATTTTTATTTTTTATTTTTTATAAACCTTTATTCAACCAGATGGTCCCATTGAGATCATCGATCTCTTTTTCAAGGGAGACCTCTCCAACATGGCAGCAAGTAGGTTACAACATGAACATAAAACAACAGATAACACATCGTATTTACAGGGCTACATGTACATACCAAGAGACATTGACAAGTACCAACAGTATATTCATATCTCGCCCTGTCAATAAGCCTCACCTTCTTGGCAACAACTGTATTGTTTTTGAAGTGGTGGCCAAAGCATATCTCTCTGTCCCAGCAACATCAGTACCAAGCAAGAGAGTTTTTTCCACAGCAGGGGATTTTGTAAACGCCCAAACATCCCAGCTTCTACCTGGAAATGTGGACATGCTCATATTCCTCAAAGATAACCTTGAGGATGCCGAGTGAGTGAGTTAGAGTTGAGTTACTTGAAAAACTAAAGTAAAACTTGATTTATTCTATTGCAGGGTCTGATTATTATATAGTTGACACTTTAAAATACTACTATCCTACTAAAATGCTGTACAAGTCAGATTTATTATTTAATAAAGAAAAAACAATTCAAGTAAAAAAAATAGCGATATTGTCGTACCGTGAGTTGTTGGTATCGTTACATCCCTAGTAACAATAGTTCAGCTCATTATGAGACTATGGTACAATTACTTTTAAGCGGTGGATCAATATCTTGACAACTACAGTACAGTATGTGTTGTGCAGACACCTTTAAACCTAAACTTATGTTTGTAATAAACTCTACCATAGTCCAAAGAAGTAACTGTACTATAGTTATTATGAATGTTAAGTGGTATTCTCTCAGCCTTATTATGCTATTTGGAGTTTCCCCGGTCCTGTAGTGTGTCATGTAGGTTTGTGTGCATGTAAATGGTCGTCAAAGGCTAAAATCCCCAAGTCTGGTTTCAGACAGAGGGTGAAAAGAGGTGCTGCAGCACAGGCAGTATGAGAATAATTAAGGGATTTTTGAGCATGTAAACATGTCACAGTAGAGGCAGAAAATACAGATATGAACATAAAAATGCTTTTTCCTTTTAATGTACTTTATATATTTCTTCTAGAACTAGTCCTGCCATTGGATAACAACCTTGAATATACAGATTTAAAACACCATAAGCTTTAATTTTGCAGTGACAAAATATCTCCTTTTAGATGAGCTGAATCTAAAGGACACAGCATTTACTCGCTATTTTTGAGGACAAACTGTTTCCCCTTTTTCCGTCTCAACTCTTGACTTTATTCATCCAGAACAAGTTGCCTCTCCAATGCCGAGCTTTCAACGAACACACTAAGACCTTCATAACTGGTCGCTGCTCGGTACTCTGAAATCATTTTGAGTTATCGCCTCACTCTTTTTGATTGTAGTCGTTCAGGTAAACTGCCCAGACTCTCGGGCAGGTGTCTGGCTGTCTGGCACTCAACCCATTGAACTGTGAGTCACAAGTCCACCTCTTCTAACCTCCTACCTGATGACCAGACTTTGTCAATGTCTGGCAAACGTCAAGGCAACCATTGCGTGCAGTGGAAAATTGGCTGTACTCAAATAATGGCTATAATTATGTAACTGGGGCAGAAAAAAGGTAGGAGAGAGAAGTGAGGGGTTAGTCCGACTGAATGAGGCTCAGACGGACTGTTCCCAAATGTAAGTTACTTCAGCGCTAATTATCCACACATCCTCTTAAATTAATCTGACTTTTTCAACATTTATATATTGATAACCTTTACCTACCTGTACCTCCTCATGTGTATGTCATTTCTTTACAAAAAAATCCTGAAAAGACAAACGAATGTCTTTAGTCTTATTTTTTGGTCCCAGTATTATTTAATGATCGTTCTGCTACAGAGAATAAATGTTCTTGTTCAATTGTTAATCAACCAAGCTCTGAAAAAACGAATGGTAACGAGCCACACAACTATGCCACTTAGCAATTAGATGTGTTCAATGTAATGTTTAGTTAGCTGAATAATTAACACGCTGGCAGGAAACACACACAGAGCTGATTGATAAGAAGCAACATTATTATTAGATGAAATTGTGCGATGATAGCAGCTTTTTTTTTTCTCACATCTTATGAAAGCCTCTCTACCTGTTTTTGTGTCTCAGGGCTCCCGGTCCAGTGGCAGGGTGCACAGCTTTGGGAAGAGAGAGCAGGCCATCAAAAGAAATCCCAACGTCCCCGTGGTGGTCCGAGGATGGCTCTACAAACAGGTCAGGACACACACACACACACACACACACACACACACACACACACACACACACACACACACACACACACACACACACACACACACACACACACACACACACACAAACATTCTTTCATACACACAAACAACAGTGATATTGCACAACCGTTTTTATATCTACAAATAAATAAATAAATTGATTATAGCATTTTTTAATTACAAAAGACAGAGGACAAATCCCTGTCTCGTCTTCCGAAAGCCCTGGGTAACATCTTTAAATGTTGTTTTCTGCCCAATACCTTTAGTTTACAGTGACATAAAACAGATACATATTCACATTTGAAAGAACCAGTGAACAATGACTCAAATGGTTAATTGACCATACAGTTGCGGTTTATGAGTTCATTTGGTGTTGAGTTGCCTGTGTCTCTTTAAAACACTATATGGATGAGTTCCAGCTCCTTAAATCTTCCTCCACTGGCCTACTTTAATATTGACTTGATTTATGTATTTTGCGTTGGCAGTACAGAGCACCTGCTGTTGATCACAGACAGGCTATTACTGCACACTATTTTGAGTTGCTTAAGATATCTGTCGTTGGCATCGTCCCACTGGAAAACACTTGGCTTCAGTACAAGACACACAGTGAGTGATGTCACTGTGAAGACATTATACTTTAATGACCACACACACACACACACACACACACACACACACACACACACACACACACACACACACACACACACACACACACAGCGCAATTACACTTTAATTAAAAAACACTTTTACATGCTGTCAGGAACACATCCACATAAATATTTACATGTATTAGCATTGTAAAGCTGACCGTTGAGCGGCCCAGACCAAGTAAGGAGGCAGAGACAGAACGTCCAAAAATATAACCCGACGTGGGCATTTATTAAAATCCGGGGCACAAAGTTCACAGCCTCAATCTTGCTGTTCTCCTTGCACACATCCTGCAGCCACAAAGATCTCAAAAACACTCCCAAACAGCAAAACCCCAGAGCCTAAATGCCCAACCCAATCAACCCAACAGGACACAGGTGAGGGGGGAGGAGACAACACAGGGCACCAGGTGCACACAATCAACGGCAACAGACATGGGGAAAAGGGAACACATTTCAAAATAAAATACAATAAACACTACATCAATCAATAGTATAAATTGTATACAAATGTGCACACATGCAAGGCCCGAAGCCATCCGTCCACAGTGACGAAGTTACCTTCGTCACAAGCATGTACAAACATTGGCCCTCAGGTAGCAACTTTTTCTCTTAAAGGGGGTTTTTCCTTGCCTGTAGTGTGTTATATACAGTCGTTTTGTATGCATGTAAATGGTCTGCAAAGGCTAAAATCCCAGTTTTCCCTCCAGAGGGGGTTCACAGTCAGTATGAGAAAAATAAAGAGCTTTTTGAACATTAAAGCATGGAGACATGTCACAGTAGAGACACTACATACTGATATGGACCTCAACATGAGCCTCTTTAATGATCAGTTTGAGACATGTGGCTGGTTGTTTATTTTTAGATAGTTAACGCCCCCTAAACTCGTAGTAAGCGCAGTACTAATGTTACAGGAGAATACAAAACACTCTGGAAGTTATACAGAAGGTAAAGTTTGGTTTATATAAGACCCACTTTTTATTGCACTAAATAGGATCAATAAACTATTAGTATTCTGTAGCCCACCAATGTTATAATCCAATCATTTTTATTACATTAAAACACATAATAATTCAAATTAAAATATATGGTATTGATGCAGTTTTGTACATTATTCAAATTGAAAACTTTTATATATATTTATTTTTTCTTGCGTTGGATGAACAATTTGTGGACTGCGAAACCATAATGTGTTTTTCTCATCTTGGTAAGAGTGCTCTTATCCAAAACTACATTTTGTCCTCAGCTAAAATTAGATCAAACATAACAAAACTTAAGTGAATCCCATAAATCAATGGGTACTAACAAAATAAGAAGAAATTATGTGTACGGACAAATAAAGAAGCACATTTTCTCTTGTATCTCTTCTTGCATAAAGCCTGTTATCACAGACACACACACACAGACACACACACACACACACTGACAGACTGACAGACAGACAGACAGACAGACAGACAGACAGACAGACAGACAGACAGACAGACAGACAGACAGACAGACAGACAGACAGACAGACAGAAGCATGTGTAGATGTCCTCCCTTCTGGATCTGCCCTCCTCTTCAAACAGAAGCATTTTCAGCCGGGCGAGGCAACATGAAAGACAAAGCAGGCAGTAAAGTAGCCGTGTCAGACCCAGCGAGCTGCACAACGAGGACAAATGATCCCCCTCTTTACCTCGCTCATATCCACCTCACTTTTCCTTTCATTACTCCTTATGTGTCCTCTGTCCCTCACTACTCTTCTCTGTCTCTAACTCTCCCTTCTCATTAAACCCCTCTCTGTATTTAAGATGTCTGTCTACTCTTTCTTGTTATCTCGTCCACTTTATCTCATTATTCATTCATTAATCACTCACACTCTTTATTCCCTTTCCTCTCGCTGCAGGACAGCTCTGGGATGCGTCTCTGGAAGAGGAAGTGGTTCGTCTTGGCTGATTTCTGTCTGTTCTATTACAAAGGTAAATATTTTTAAGGAGGTTTTTCGGTGTAATGTCGCTTGGACCTTGGAGAAAATGGTTGAAGTATCAGTTTGTTCCAACACCCTGCCTCCTTGTGTTTTTGTTACACTCTTCAAAGATCATAGGAAAGGATGAAATAGCAAAAATCAACTTGAAATGTAACACTCAGGTTTCTATTGGCTAGCGCTCCAACACATTGTACGTGATAGGATAAGGGGCAGGACATCTCTAAGCGGTTGACCAATCACAACAGAGCCGGCCAGCTAACCAATCAGAGCGGACTGGGCTCTGGTTTCAGACAGAGGGTGAAAAGAGGTGCTGCAGTATGAGAAAAATAAAGCGCTTTTTGAACATTAAAGCAAGGAGACACACACAGTAGAGACACTAAATACAAATATAAAAAAAATGAAAATTTGCAAAAGAAAGTCCTCTTTAAATTAACACCGATCAGTCTGAATAAAACCACGGTTATATTGTATTCTGCCGGTGTCTCACTGGTGTCATATTATCTATTTAAGACTTAGTTAAACAAATGTAGTGTCTTAGAAAAATATCTTCTTTTAAAAGGTTATTTTATCGAACATTTGCTATTTAAAAAAAACAAGACATAGATATATTTATATATGTTCTCATCTTTCTTGGTTTAAATGGAAAAATGTGAAAGTACAGACCAGTCTTTGAAGAACAAGATATACAGTACATGTCTGTATTGGAAATCGGACAGCTTTCAACAAAAAAGCGTTTGGACAAAGTTCAAACGTTTGAATTGCATTTTGATGGTACTGGATTTGAAGTGAACTGCTGCTGACAAAAGCGCCAGAGACTGAATCTGTGCCGGCTTTAATCTGATCTCTCAGTGTGCTGCAGCTCAAACACATGCAGAGAAACGGACACACTCTCCATCACACACTCCATCGACAGCAGTCTTTATCTGTTGCTCCACGCCTTTCTGTTTCCTCTAAAGTCTCTTAACAGAACCAGGAGGCGCTCCTCCTTATTCATGCCTCGGAGGATCAAATCAATCCTGTGTCGTTCCCTTCTCTCTCAGTTCAAAGGTTTCGGCTCTCTACATAAACGCTTCTTTTTACACAAACAGCCAACGCTCCTGTCAGGGCTGTAGAGGTCACGTCCTTGATTGATTTTTTAGTGAAATGTGGGATTTGTAGTAGCGTGTGGTGACATTTTAAAACCGAGAAATACTTTTCTTAAAGACAAATAAATATGGACAAAGATAAATATTAATAATAATTCAATTCAGGATGTGTGGCAGAAAAAACATTTAACTTGATGTATACAGTTACAAATTAAATTGATGGGATCGATGGACAGAAAATGAGTTGGCAACCATTTCAATGTTATAGTTTTACTTATTATTCAAGTTATAAAGGCACAAATGATTGGATTTAAGCCTCTCAAATGTAAATAAATAATCCTCTTCCCAAGTTTTTATGACAGTTTTATCTGGATTTAGGACTGTAAAACAAGAATTTGGATACTAATATGGGTAGTTTCATTATAACGGCCTGTCCACACTACAGCTTCAAAAAAAGCATGGAGCTGGGCGTGTCTGAAGCTCGACCAACAACCAATCACATGAATCTCCCGCCCCTGACACACAAGCAGCGGTTTGATTGGCTTGAGCTTGTACTGGCATATGATTTGATTGGCTGACGCTTCCACCGAAAGCTTCAGAAGCTTCAAAAGTTGAACATTGCTCAACTTTTGCAGCCTGAAACGCCAGGAAAGCTCCGCTCTGCTTCCCACAATGCAGTTCGGCGAAAAGTGACGTCACCCCATTCAAAGTGAATGGGCAGACGCGTTGGAAACCGTTTTTGAAGCTGTCGAAGCTGTAGTGTGGACGGGCCGTTATACAGACAAAACACTACATTTAATGTGCAGATGAATCACTAATAATGAAGGTTTCTGTTGAAGCTCTGAACAAAATGTCATTGGTCAACACTTTTTAAGTAGGGCTGTCTGTCTTGTGGGACTTTGAACATCATTTGTAAAACACTATTTTACAGCACAGTACAGTATACAGAAACCTCTATCTTCACACTCAACTTCTATAAGAAAACAACTTGAACAGGGGACAAAAAGTGACGCATTCATGTGCTGTTTGTTATCTAACTTCACTTGTCACAGCACAGTGTGGTCTGCTGAATGTATGTTTGTGTGTATCTTTGTGTGTGTGTTTGTGTGCGTGTGTGTGCGTGTGAGACAGTCTGGGCAGAGCAGATAAAAAGACCTCAACCTCTCAACCACCATTTAGGGAATGTCTCCTCCAAAGGTCCTTGAATTATTTTTAAACAATTGCCCCTTTAATCCACAGAGCTGCCTTATCACCTCTCAGCCAAACACACACACACACACACACACACACACACACACACACACACACACACACACACACACACACACACACACACACACACACACACACACACATATTGTCATACTCTTACTACATTTTTTACGACCTGCTAAGCATTGTGTACACACACATCGCATTCTAGCGTCCTGTCAAGATGTTCAGAAAACAAATAAAAGCAGATATTTATTCATATACGTGTGAAATAATTACCATATGACATTTTCTGGTGGCAGTCGTGTGTGTGTTTGTAAGGTCCTTTTTGAGTTTAAGGCCATTAAAGTAAGGATGTTTTGGAAGGTCAGGACATTTTTAGCAGTCTTTTCTTGAGGGAAAGGTTAAGGTGAAAGGTTGAGGACTGCATTGTATCAATGAGGGTCCTTACAAATACAGAAGGACAAGTATGTGTGTGTGTGTGTGTTGACAATGATCTCAGCATGTGAATCGGATGGAGCAGAGGAATGGCGGCCGGCGGCCAGTTGGAGCAGACCTGTTTTAACACTTGTGGTCATTCACTGTTTTGGCACAACACGACGGTTTGAATGACGGCATGCGAGTGTGTTTATGAGAGTGTTATGATACTGGTGGCAGGCAGCGATGAAATTAGTGGGTGATGACTGATATTTAATCTCTTGCTCTTTCCTTTCCTCCATATCTCTCTCGCTCCTTTTCTCACCTTCCTCACCCTGAATATCTTCTCCCTCTTTCTCCCCCGTTACTCCCTCCCTCCCTCTCTCTCTCCCCCCCCCCCCCCCCCCCCTCTCTCTCTCCAGACAGCAGAGAGGAGTCGGTGCTCGGCAGTATTCCTCTGCCCAGCTATGTCATTTCCCCCGTGGGAGCTGAGGACCACATCAGCCGCAAGTATGCCTTCAAGGTACGCCAATCTTTTTCCTACAGAGTTGTTCGCGGTGACTAACATCTTTAAATCTCTTTCTCTGGCGTTGTTGTTTTTCCGTTTGCAGTGTGTGTAGCCACCTATGTTTCCGCTTGTGGGTGTAAAACAAAAACAGTCAAGGAACGATTCCCTATGTAGAAGAAATGCAACGAAGATTGATTTTCATTACGTCAGGAGAACTCATTCGACCAATGAACCCTGTAATCTTAAAACGAAAAAATAAAATTAGAACTGTTTCTTTTGAACTCACAATAAGACAGTTGCTGTAAAAGCTTATTTCACCCACGACATGTGTATCCAAAGTGATCGAAACACTAACAGGATTCTTCTACACGTGGAAACAATGCAAAGCATGCGAGGCTAGCTGCACACTTCAAAGTCGTATTGTACTGTTTACATTGTGGAACATGAAGCATCAATTAAGTCCAACTTCAAAAGACTTTAGAAACATTTTAAATACTATGTTTTTGTTCCACTCTTGGCACATATGCTAAAACTGTATCACTAGTGCTATTTAAAGCACTCTTGATGTGGACTATTATTAGTAATATTAGATGTTACCATCCAATAGAAAACCCCTTACAACTTAATGCTACCATAACACCTGTTGATTCACTGTGTGTGGACCAGCAGGTTTATTGACACGCAGCTATTCCCTTTTTTTGAACAAATATTTGATGGTGTGCCATTGAACCATAGACTGTATATATAAAGCATTGAACACATGTTTTTGAAGCCTATTAGAAAAGTGTCTCACAGCTATGACTGCATGTAATTGAGGTTGTAAGCCGTAAACAAGCATGTACAATTGCTATAAAATAGATTTGATATCATTGCTTTTACAGCCCTGCCTAAAATTAGGAAAACATCTCTAATGATTTTTGAATGCTCGTTAAAGGAATAGATAAATCTCTTCCGACATAACGCTGCCTACCAGCCGCCCCTCAGCTTTGAGCAGCACTCAGCACCTGTTGTGTTGAAGTCTATTACCGCCAAATGTCTGTCAGTGGCTTCATTGAGACGGAAAGCTCGTCTGGAATGAAGCTTCTCCGTGGCCCGAGGCTCAAGTCTGTTTGAGTCCTTCCCGACATGTGGGAAATTAAGAGGTGTGTTTACATCACAAACAGGCTTCCTCTTTACTCACAGATTCAATGTGTATGTAAATATGCACATGGTTTTATAGGTCCAACAGACAAAGTCATTTGTCATCAGTGACTCTAAATATTGTATATTAAATGAAGAGCATGTTTGCCTTGTTGTTAAAGAAAAGCCCTTTGTCTAAAAGGTCAGGTTTTACAGCAGCATCGGCCATGTTTTATGAGCTGTCCTTGAGCAACACACAGATCCACAACCCTCTGCTTAAAGGTCTTTGGATAAGTATGTTGACCTAGTGTTTGAGTATTACAATATGTAAACATCGTACTCAATATACTCACTGTAGAGAGGACAAGGTAGGTGTCTTTCAATGCACTTAGAGACAGAAATCAAACAGACATAATCAGATATGAACCCAAACCATTACTCTGCTAGAAATCCCTTTTATCATCGTGGGAAGAATAACGTAAGGTGGTAAATTGTAGAGCTGTGGCAACATTCAGAGACTTCAAGAGTCAATATGTGTGCCAAGCTGGAGTTAGTACAAGATCAGGCCGGAAGTAGGGCGCAAATTCAGCCATAAACAAGGCAGCGAGCTCTCTGAAGCCGTGCGACATCAACGGTATTCACTGCTCTGGAAGGGAAGGCCTTGGCTCGATGCGTTTTAAGCAGGGCGAAGGCTTCAAAAACGGGGCAGGTTCACCATTATCCAGGAGGAAGTGAGGAACCTAAAGGAGGAATCAGGGCGAACCAGTTAAACCAAGCACGCTGTTATTGCACTTATTGGGAGCTACTCAAAAACAAATATGTTTATATATATATATATATATATATATATATATATACACAGTATAGATGGCACCATGACACTGTCTTGCAGGTTTAAGCTGATAGTGGATTAGATTGGCCTTAGAGTCAGATAAAGCAGCAAGTGAGACCTATCTAGGTACGTCCTAAAGTTCAAGCAAATTGCAAGGTCTTAGCAGAGAAAGAATTACACTGGAGAGAAGCTGCATTTTCCAGATGTCTTCGATCTCTCTCAACATCAGGTAGTTTTGTTGTGAACCCCAAGACAAGGAGATTATCCTGGTGGATCTCATAAGAGGATTTCTACCCTCATTTGTACCATATTAAAGTTGTGTACTGAATCCGGATATCTACTCTTGACTTATGGCTGAAGTAAAACCAATAGTAGGCAACCAAACTGGTGTATGCAACAATCCCAGTGGGCAGTAGGAAGAATATTATAACCTGGATTGTAGACTTTGTATACTTCCTGGTATAAGTCAAAAATATTGTTCACAGTTTCTCCACGATTGGAAGAAGGAAATTATGATTTTCACAGTTCATTAAATGGTGAAATTGCTTGTCTTTCACATGAGCAACTTTGAAAAAAAGAAGCTATGTCACAAAGGTGACAAATTAGTTCTCAATTAGCATCATTATATTTTCTACAATATGAGGTTTTGAGACATCTTAAGCCTTAAGGCAGTGACAGGGAATGAAGAGGAAGAATTAACGTAAATCAACATTTCCTATTAACAGAACTCAAATGATAAAAATAGCAAAAATGAACAATATGCATTGAGCAATATTCATGGCCTGGAAACTGCAAATGATGGCTGTTGCAGATTGGAATGTATCTCAATGTTATTCTTCCCTTACTGTTATAAGAGCAGCGTAAATGTTTTTGTTTTGTCTGACCTCCACTGGTTTGACTTCTCACAGTGCAGCAGTGATGTAGAAGTTTACTCCAGCGTGTGGTCAGTACAAAGGGAAATTACACCTTTTGACAACACCAAACTAACTATAGGTAATGTTGGGTGCTTTTAGCGGTAACAACAGGCATACAACTACCAATCAGAGAGGGCAATTTAACATCCTGGTGTTGATTCAATCCTTAATGTCTCAAATAAACTGAAATGGAGCTGAACCAAAGCCAACATTTCCACCACAGGAGAGTAACCCATTCTACTTGAGTGGTAACATCATAAACGCCACCAAGTCATCAAACAGACTCCTCAAATGAATGCTGGTAACCCAGGTCTGTAACCCACATCAGCAGGACCCCAAACAGTGATGGAGTGGGTCTTTTATGACGGTGTGTGAACGCTGCACACATCGACTACCAAATTGACCTTTAAGCTTCAACGACCTCCCCCCCTCCTCCTCCCCTTATTCACTGAGTCCTCTTCTTGTTCCCATTGGTTGGCTGCTCCGACTGGGACGTCCCTCTCTCCTTGTGAGTGTGTCGCGTCGCCCAGTGACAGCCATCCCATAAATAGGTATTCTCCCCTCTCTCTCGTGCCCTCCCTCGTTAATATCCCTGTTGTTGGTGGTGTGGCTTTTTTGGGTCCAAACACGACAGAATATACAGCGGCTGTGTATATTCCTCTGTTGGTTTTTGATGCATGTTTTTTGAGAGCAACATGTCCTTTTGGCTGGTTGTGTTTTCTTTGAGTGTTTTGTCTTAATCCCCCCAGTGTCTTTCTCCCCTCATTCTCTCACCACCCCATCATCGCAATATGAATCTTTTGGCTTTTCTTGTGTGGGGCTTATCGTTCATCTTTGTGCTCTCACTGCCTCCTCCATCACATCCACCGTACCAGCATGCAGTTTTCTGACAGTGTGGGGGCAAACGTTGCTATTTTGAAGTCACTCTTCTCTCCCAGTGATGAATAGTGACACAATAATGTACTGTAGTAGATCTTCAACTGACATTGACTTTTCCAAAGTCGCTGCAGCTTAAGGGAACTTTGAAGTAGATAAAGCTGTTATACTTTTCCCTAACAGGATTCAAACTCTGAGTGTTTTTCATGATTTAAAACCCAGACACTAGGGCTGCTCGATTATGGCAAAAATCATAATCTCGATTATTTGGGTGAATAATTGATCACGATTATTAAAAACGATTATCCATTTACTTTGAAAACATCCATTTATTGAAAATAAAGTGTAGTATGTTTTTAACAGTTGATTACCCTGAACTTTAAATATAATTCAATTGAAAAAAAAAAAAAAATAGATAATATATGTATTTTTTAAAAATAATAATAATTGTTTTATTTCGATTATGTTGTTTTCATAATCGTTGCAAGCCAAAATCGTAATTGCGATTAAAATACGATTAATTGAGCAGCCCTACCAGACACCCACATGCGGTTGCTGCCTCCATTTGGATGTGTTTCTCTTTACATTTCTACAGTTTAGAGAAGGTTACCTTATCAGGAGCTTTGTGGCGCTCAGGCTGCCGAGGCTTATCTCAATGAGCACAATGACTCTTTAAATAGCGCCCTGACAAAGAGTGTATGTGAGTGTTTGTCTGGGGCTGTCCGCGGGCAAAGAGCCAACACTTTTGTAAGCCCTTCTAAGAGCAATGAGGGAGTGATATTTTTCAGTTTATAGAAAAAAGCAGCACAGAAAGGGAAGTGATTAAGGGCTGAAGAATAAAGGGAGAATTAAGAGAGGAAGCGATAGGTGGAGAGGAAGGAAGTGAGCTGGTTGCGGTGAAATAGAGGGCAGAGCGAGAGGGAGTTTTCATTTAATATTTTCACACAAAGCATCGTTGAACAATATAGTCGGCAACACTAATAATGTGGAACACTCTTAATACTCCCACACACACACTAAGAGAAAGCGGCTTGGCTGAGTATGAATTCAGTGTGTGGGAGTATGGGTCATGCACTCAGAGCTGAATGACCCACTCAGCATTCCTGATAAAGAGAGTGTTATTTCAAACCGCTGCTGTTGTGTGTAGGATCAGGTTACTATTGTATGTGTCTGTGTGTTAGGATGTAACTCAAATAGGGACAAATCAATGCTGGGGACAGGATGGAATCGACAGGGCTTTTAAATGTGTGTATGTTGTGGCGGAGGTCGTGTGG